CTGGTTCCAATTCCAGCTGTTGGCGTGTTGCGCCAGTCTAATAGTGCTTGAAATTCTGACGTTCCGGATGTCTTGCACTTTCGGTATGGACTGCGTTCTCGGCCTTTCCGTCTGACTTAAGATAAGCTGGTGACGATATCTTGTGCTCGAATATCTATGTCTTTGCGAATACAGCTAACTCAGCGGAGGAAAACTGCGGACCGTTATCTGTGACAAGGGTGTCAGGTACACCAAATCTTGCGAATATCTCTTTCAGTTCTTTGACCACAGCGCAGGTATTAAGGTCGCTCAGGCGAGCTACCTCGATATAGTTACTGTAGTAGTCACTGACAACCAACAATATTCTGTTGTCAAACTCACAGAGATCTGCAGCGATCTTTGCCCAGGGCCTCGCGGTGAATTCGTGCGGCAGTATCGGTTCTTTTCCTTGGCCATTGCGATGAGTCAAACAGACGTCGCACCTTGAGATGTATTCTTTGATCTCAGTGGTCATGCGTGGCCAATACAGGGTTTCTCTCGCTCGGCGTATACATCCCTCAATGCCAATGTGTGTCGCGTGTGTCTCCTCCATGAGTTCCCTCCTCAAAACTGCAGGGACAACAATCTGTTCATCTTTGAAAACGAGCTCATCCTGGATGGTTAATTCGTCACGTACGTCAAAGTAAGGGCGCACACACTCGGGAGTTTGCGCTCTGTTTTCTGGCCATCCACCCCTGATGATGTCTCGTTTCCAGTATACGTAGAGGTGGCTTTTCAGCAATCAGTGACGATTTCATTGTCTCATAGTACTGACAGAGATTCAGACTAGAAAAGATGGAGCGACTGGGTTCAGTGTCAGTTTTACTGTATTAGCTGGACTAGTCAGTAGTCACTGATAACGCGTGGATCTGTTATCTCGCCCACTTCGTTCTCGGTGTAATTCTTCTAGAGTTTTAAAATCGGACACGCGGACTGTAGTCCTTTGATTGTTCTATGAAACGTTTAGCTCACACTGAATTTAACTGATCTGATTTTCCCTTGTTTTAGTTGTCAAGCAGCACTGGACGATCTACTTGTGTTTGATCTGGCTTGTTTAGGACCTGCTGTGAGTACCTATTCTTAGATAAGCTAGTTTCCCGTCTAGTTTGGACGCCTCCTCTCCATCCTAACTCCAAGAACCGCTCTGGATACATACTTAAATTGTCGATTTTTATCATTGTTTACCTGGCATGAAATAACTAGCTAGTCCATTGCAGGTTATTCGCCCACGACACCTAACCAGCCTCCCTCATATCGCTTATTACCATTTGTACTTTTGCAAGGATGGACAGGCTCGGATTGGGAGATCGAACCTCCCGCCTATGAAACATTAGGCCGCCGATTGTCCCACCCCACTAGTTATGAGCTGAAATCTAAACGAATAAAAATTAAAAAT